TACATGACGTACATAATAATAATAAAGCATAGTGGTGATCATAGGTGTTTTCCATCTTTCTGAAACGCCGAAAATGATTATGTTTGAACTGTTTAAAAATTCCATTGATATTATTTTATATTAATTATTACCGCAATTACTTTTTTCCCAAAAATAATTTCAATTTTTGTCGTCTAAATCTAGATTTATTTTTTATTTTATATATATTTTTTTTAAACTGTGATGTGTATATATATTATAAATATATATTTTTTTTTTTTATAAATTAAACTTAATAAAAATTTTTTTTTAAAAAAAAAAGAAAAAAAAAATCAAAAAGGAGAATTATAAATAGCATATCATATATTAATGTATTATTGTATTGATGGAATGCGGATTTTTTGTACAATCTATATATATAATAGAAGAGAGGTGTGAAAGAAAAAAATAAAAGCGATTACAAACAATATTAATAAATTGAAAATTTACATAAATGAATATAAATATATAAATAATAAATTAATGCTAATTAATAAAAATTAAGCAAATATTGTAGAAGAACGACTTCTTGTTATAAAAGGAGAATTTGACCCAAATAATGGTTTAGTGTCTGTATTTGATAAAAATGATTGTTGTGATGATTTTTCTTCTTTATCAACAACAACCTTGTTGTTATTAACACATAAGAAAGCTTGATTTGGTGTATTATCATTCTCATCACAATCCTTATCTTCCATATTTCCATCTACGACATCGTGAAAACTGTTGGCCAAACTACCATTTTCCTCTGAATCGAAATTAAAACTTTTACTAACGAATAAATCAGAATCACCAGAAATATTTAAAAAATGATGATTGTTTACAGTGGTACCATCATCTTCGTTGTCGGAAGGATTGCCAGAATTTGGTGAAAGCGATGCAAGATCACTAATGTTTGAAACAAAGTTTGGTCTATTTATTTTTAGTGGTGATGAACGGTTTTCACTACCATTATAAGATAGGAAATTATTACTGTTATTATCGTTATGATAAAAGTAAAATTCATTGGTATCTTCATCATCATCACCATCTTGATATAAAGAACTTGCAGATGATCTATTATAATCTTTAGAAAAGAGACTTGTACGGGGAAGTTTACTTGGTGAGTTATACATTCCAAGATTCTCGGATGAAAAATTTGTTAATGTCGGTGAGCAACAAGGAATCTCATTACTATTATTGTTGCTGTTGTTTCTCGAATGTCCATTTGTTATGTTGTTGTTGTTGTTGGATCAATTGTGGAGGCAAAGATGATTGAGGAGGTTGATTAAAAATCCTGGACTGTTGATTTATTGGTGGTTGTTGCATCATTTGTGATGATTGAGACATTTGAGGAAGAGGCTGATTAAAGATTCTGGATTGTTGTTGAGATGGTTGAGGTGGTCTTGGTTGTTGCTGGTTTGATCTTTGATATATTGTATTATTGGTGCTGCAATTGTTGTTATCATTTACATTGTTATTGTTGTCATTATTGCCATTATCGTCATTGTTGTTGCCATTATTATTATTATCGGTTTCTTCTGTTACTGTTAATGGTAAGTTTTGTTCGTCAGAAAAAGGTGAATTTGTGTGACTTATCAAATTGAACTCATTAACTATAATAGTACTAATATTTGATAATATCGTTACCATTGTAAATTATAATTATAATGAATAATTAGTTAGTTAATTAATAATGTATTTGCCAGTAAACCTAGTAATGAATATTAAACTTTTACTTTTTTGAATCATCTTGACGATATGTATAGTTGATCACAAGGATGATGTCTCCTGTTTCAAGATACATTTTTTTCTTTCGTGATTTTATCATAT